GTTGTAGGCATCTTAAAATATAACAGCTAAGGTTAGAGATCAAGAACTGATCAGGCTGGAAACCTTTTTTTATGAAGGAGAGAAGCAAAGCATATTCCTGAAGTAGTAAACACTTGTTAAATGTAAGAAGGGCTATTAATGCATGACTGTGAATTAACACGATAAAACAAATCAGAGGGGTGAATTTCTGCTAACAGTAAAGCAATATAGTTTCCTGCTTTAAGTATTATTACTCCATACTTTCCTTTACTTGCTTCCTTTGTTCACTGCATGGCTGTTGCCTTAAGAAAAGGCAACAAAGACATAGCTAAATGTAGAGTAAGAAGAGCTAGTTCCTTCCCTGTGGTGCAAAATATAGATAAGAGTGACTGACCAAAATACAGAGAAACTTTCCCTGGCTTGTGCAGTAGATCAACAAAGAATGGGGATATAGAGCAAAGTCTTTCGATTCACTTTGCCGTTTTCTGCGAGCCTCAACTTTCCAATCACTTTAATTGTAATGAAAATCCCTGTTCCTGCCAGACTATTTCTGTTGCATTTCATTTGCTTTCTTGTCAGAGAAGACTGACTTCAGGGTCAGTGAATGCAGTGTTAACATGTGCCAGGTACTGGGAAAGGTAAGTACGTGCTTTCCTGAATCTACACCTTAGTGAGCCACACTATTAGAAGGAAGTTGTCTAGAGTATTTCTTCTTAGTGATGGTTAATCTCCCCTCGTAAGTTAGTTTTTGTTTATGCAGTTTCTAAATAGAAGTCTTACTATGTAGCCTTTTAGCTTTAGCCTCACTCTCTTGGCTTTCAAGATGTACCTTCTTGCAGAGATTTCCCTTAAAATAAGCAACATCTTCTATCAAAACACAGTGTTGACCTCAGGGTGTTATAAACCACTTTTAACAATTCACTCACCAAGGGGCATTCCTAAAAACTAGAGATTATGAGATGTTGATTTTGGTTTGCTTTTGAGGAGATTTTGGGGGACATTTTGTTTTGTTTTAAATAGGGTTTAATATAAAATCTTTGGCCTATTTTTACATGGGCATGTTTTCATTTAGGCTGTAATGTTAAGGAACTGAATGTGCCTTTTGTATGTATGCAGAGCCCTCAATAGGAAAGTCATGTTCTCATAGTTTCAGTTAGCACTATAAATAGCTTTAGAATAATGTTGTGCTGAGAGCCACATAGAGAGCCCCCATTGATATCTCTGGGAATCTTGTGAAAAGACAGAGAAGCAATGTTCTTTGGACTTCAAGGAAGAGAGAGAGAATCCTTGCTGGATACGACCCTTGACATGAATTTCACCCAACGTAACATGTAGATTGAAAATATCCTCTAGTTTCCTTGTACCCTCTGGTCTCCTGTGTTGTTTCCTAGAAAACTACTTGAGACTTGGTAAAGGCATCTGCAATTACAATTTCAATTGCCACTTTATGAAGAGAACTCAAGGATAAACCTCCCTGTTCCACATTCATTTCCTCCTGTCCATAAACAGCTCTGTTTCTCTGACAGCTCCTTCATCATCATCAATTTGACCTAATCCAATTTCTCCCTCCTGCGTCCTTTTGTGTTGCTGTGGATATCTCAGCCATGCTTCAAGTCAACTTAGGCCGGCTCTTGTAGATTCTTTCTGCATAGTATCCTTGAGATAAAACCTGTCCCAGCTATCCATCCAGCTAAAAAATTACTCAGGTTGAGTTTTGCATCTCACTTGCTTCAACATCCATTTCCCTGGCAATGACTTGACAAAAGCACTCTTGCCCTGCTCTCATCTATTCAAAGTGCTGTTGCCACTGCTATGACTGGTTTTGGTTGTTTTGTTTTGTTTTTTTTTAATTCCATGTTTCTGATCATTTCACTTTGTTTGCATTTCTCCATTGGTTCCCTCTGCCCTGTCACACCAAACATAACTACTAGCCTTTGATGTCAAGGCTGTGCACAATCTTTTACTACCTACTCATTAGGGTTTTTTTTGTATCAAAAGACTGACTTCCATCTACAGATGTTAAACCATGTTGGTATCAATCACTTGCTTGTTACGTTTTTATACTTTACAGTAGCATCTTTTCCTTTCTTGTATGATTCCTTTATGGAAGGATGGAGATCTTCGATATCCACTGACCTGTTTCATTGGCCTGCAAGTCCTTAAAATGATCATTCACTGTGATACGTCAGTGTGCTCGACAGTGATTAGACTAATTAGTTACTGATGTAAGTAATTAAACTGTTGTCCTGTAACTAATGTGCCATGTTCGGTCCACTGTTGTCTCACTGTTTCTTTGAACATCCTTGTCTGTAGGGGCTCTTGTTACTTGTTTTAAACTTAAAAGTCTTTCTGAGAAAAGGACCATCATTGTAATCTGGTGTTGGTGCGAAGCCTGGTGTTTTGGACTCATGAGCACTCTGGCACTTGTAATTTCACAGTCAGTAGGTGATTAAGGTATGCTTTGCTGCTGGGTGTATATAAGTGGTTGATGGATTGTTCCAGCACATTGTTCCTGCCATCTCTATTGAGCTTCCCACATATGCCGCTTTGATAGTAGTGTACAGAGAGGCGTGTAACATCTAGAGCTTGATTCATTGTGAAATATTTATAAGTGTAGGAATAATACAAAATCTGATCCAATCTCATTCTGTCATTTTGAAAAGTTGCATACCTGTTAAAATTCACTGTGTTCAGTACAGGCACCCATATGCTTTTGGCTTCATGGAGACTGCAAATGCATTTTTAGTGTGATTGAACATGAAGAAACCAAACTCTGAAATTCAGTTGAGCTTGATTTTCCACCTGATGTAAAAGCTATAGATTTTTACGTGCTGGGGACAACATAATTCTTAGTAATTACTTGGTATGTGTTTCTGTGTGAGCTATTTGTAGCTTTCAAGTAATTTTTGTTCAAAAAGTGTGTTTGAAAAATGCTTCTAGGCACTGAATATCAAAATACAGACTGAAAGATGTGGAGTCCTTGGGCTTAGTATGTTCAGAATATCCAAGTATATGTGCATTCTCTGATTTCAGTTGAAAAGTTCAGCGTAATATCTTACTTCAAGATGTATCAGAGTTTTACAGATACAGTGATAAAACAAGTCCTTGAAACAAAAGCAAGCTATTAGCGGTGTGTTCAGTAACTGCTGATCGCTAAACTGGGTGTAAAACTTAGATGCAATCAAAAGCATGTTGACCGATGAACTGAGTCATGGCTGAATAACAGCAGCCCAGGCAATATTGAGCTGTACTTTTATGTATGCTATTCATCTTCTCCACTGTAAATACTACATACATCACTGTCTCTGCCCTAGTTTTGTCAATAAAGTTCTTCATTAAATTGAATAGCCAAAACAAGCTATCCACTGGAAATTATGATTTAGGTCTCCAGTGTATTTTCTGAGCCTTTAATAATAGGCCATATATAGCTGCAAAAAACATTTTTAAAAAGCCAGTAAATGGGCTTATGTATGTCTGCAGGGAAATGTTTAGCCTGTAACTATGATGATGTGACTGACAAGTAGAGAAACAGTGGGGAGTATTTTATTTTTCTGGCTTGGTAAGTGAAATACTACCTGGATGGAACACAGAGATGTAATCCAGTGGTGATTTTTTCCCTTTCTAATTAGTGATACTCTGAACTCCCTGGGGGAGGCCAATTTGTGGACCTCATGCTGCATTCTGCATTGAATAAACATATATACTGACTCGAAGCACAGATAAGTAGCTTCTGGAGCTTAATTTTGCTCTCAGTCTTAAACTGTTGCTCTGTGAATGTTACAGCTTGGCATCTTGTAGAGTTTGTAGAGTTAAAAATGTGCCTTTGTTAGATTAATGAATTCATTGTGGGCAGTGGAGCTCCTTTGTCCTTCATTTAGAATAAAAGATAAGATGGTATTTAATTTAGTCAGAAAAGTTAAAGTCAAATAGTTATTTTCCTTTTTTTAGTCACTTATAATTGCTTACAATTATATAGTAAATGATAGCATTCGAAAAGCACTGTGAAAAAAGTATTGCGATTGTTAGATATTAGCATTCAAAACTGTCTGGAAATGTGTATTGCCTTGGGAACTGGTGCTTCTGAGCCCCATCCCAGGCTCTGCCATTGATATGCTGTATTTTAGCAGGCAACCTAATCTTTTGGTTCCTTAGAAACAACATGTATTAAATGGAGATGTGACCACATCTCTTATGAGCAGTGTGATGTTAGCGTTTAGTGTCTTGTTCTGAAAATCTATCTATGCCTAGAATTCCCATTTACTTCAGGTGAAAATATCTATTAGACAGATCTCAGGAGCAGTATTTGTAACGTACATGCATATCTCTGAGAGATGATCAATGGGTTAAAAGTTTGAAGAAGTTTCGTATCTTGAATTTCCTAATACTTTTGTTTTTTCTATGGTGGGATAATGAAGTAGGAAAAAAAAAAAAACAAAGCACATTAGTGAGAGATAAGCACAACACTCAAAAGTATGACTGAAGGAAAGGAAGAATGTTGTAGTTTAATCTGACTCACCAGAATTGAAGCAAGTATATTTCAGTCTAACATGAAATTTGGTGTACCTATTTTCTAAAAATTAGAGTTGATTTAATGCAGTAAATAGTGTGATTGTTCATACATGATCTTCTACATCAAAATCAGGAAAACCCCATGACTGCTTTTAGGATGATAGACGTGTACTGATAGCATGAAGGAAGCTCTGGTTGTGATCACAAGACCCCCTGGACAAGATCAGGAGAAGGTCACATGTAGCCAGTGTACGCCGTACATTTGGAAGCAGCATCTTGTCACAAAGATTTTTATTTTTTTTAATAGCATCAGCTTTGCAGTAGGGCCATAATTTGACTGCTTTCCAGTTTGAAATAGCTTGTGTTATCTCTGTGGAAGTATTTTAGCTGCTGTTGTTTTTTTATTGTTTTTATTTTCCTATCTAATAATAAGCAGTCACCCCAAAAGTTACTTGAAATAGCAACTATTCTCCCTGAACTGCTGTTTTATTTTCTTTTGGCTTTTATTTCAGCTGCAGGAGCCAGCTGCTCCAAAGAGTGTGGGAAGCTGACTTGGAGGCCTGTCAGCTGTTGATCCGAGGGTTTCAACTGAAAGAAACCAGTTGCTGTGTTTTTGAGGAAGAGGAGGACCAAATGGATGACATGGAGACAACCACTGATGGCCCGTCTGATTCTGAAAAAAGAAAAGGAGGTCTGAAGGGTACAGACTGGGGCACTGTTCCTTGCCCAAAACACAGCGAGCTAAAAGAGGTATCTGAAATATTTTACAGCTGCATTTCAAGTGATGCTGCTGTTTTTTCTTTTGAGAGAAAGAGTTGAATCTGGGTGACGGGTCAGCAGGGCAGGTTAAGTATGAACTTAACATCTGGCCACTGATCTGGGACATGAATAAAGTAGTTTATTAGATTCTCAGAAGCCCTTCAACCCTTTTTCCTTTCACCATCAGTCTTTTTAAAATATGGAAATTATTCAGGCTATAAATACAGAATGTACATGAGGACTTAAATGAAAAATTATTAAGTATTTAACACAAGTTGTCATCTGTTCCTCATCTCACTGACGAGTTTCACTCTGAGTTAGTTCTGCTGACCTGTTACCCTGAATCTGTTAGCTGAAGCAGGGAGAGAGTAAGCTTTCCTCCACTAGTGAAATGGTCGAAGGCTTCCTAGCTCAGATGCTGGTAGGCTTTCAGCATCCAACAAATATTAAAAAGAGGAAAAAAATCATGAGGCTTAAAAGGTTTGACAGATTTCTTTTAAGTTTTCATGTTCTGTGCTGGAATGCCATCCTTGCTTGAAAAATGTGCAGCTACCGAATAATCTTTTAACTGCACTGCCAAGGTAAACAAGCTGTTAAAAAGCTTCATCCCCAGCAGCACTACTGAAACAAGAAGACCCTACAGCAGGAGTTGTCAGTTTTATTACCTTAGAATTTGGTTGACAAAAATTAACATTGAAAGGTGATGCCTAATTTTGCATTTATACTGGCTGAGACTTAGCAGAAAGTAGGCCCTTACCTTACTGTAAAATCTCCTCTTGTTAGAAGATTCTGGTTTTAAGATGGGCTTCAATAATACTTGCAGCCTTTTCCTAGGGAAAATGGTTTATGTGACTCCGCATAGAGAGCATTTTTATTGTAAACGGTCAGCTGTGGCTTTGAATTTTTTTTTTTTTCCCCCTCTTCCACCCGCCTGCATTGTAGCACTCCTTGAGACTTGTGCTGTAGATGACCACCGTTTTCACCCCTGCAAGTCCAGATTGTTTCCCTGGAAATCATCATTGCTATTCTAGAATGACACCTAGGCAGCTGGAGAGAGATACAGGACTCGTGAGGGACAGGTTCCCCATGTGTTTAATGGAAGAGGAAAGCGTATTTGCAGTGCTTCCATTAAGCTCCTCCTTTTGAACTTGCCTTTGCATGATTTCCTCTCTGTCTCTCCTCTATCAACCGTAGAGGGAACTTACAGAGACTATCCCTCTAACTTCAGCTCTTCATTTAGGTGCTTAAACTTCGTGGTGTAAATGCCTTTGCCTGGGATCTGGCCTATCCTGGTATCCTGAACAAACTCCATTTTGAGAACATGCCAAAATCCAATCAGAAGCTGATGTGTAAATATAAATGTGAAAGTGCCCATTAGTGAAGTACCTGTGGAGGTACTCCTGCATCTATTCCCACAGCGCTCCTAGGACTGACAAACTTGAACGAAAAAAAGAAGAGTTGTGTTAGTATAAGAACGTTCATTCATTTTCCAGCTTTTAGGAGGAGCTGAGCAACACAGCTATGTTTTATCATGGGTTACTCGTGCTGCCTACAGCCTTGACTGTTGATGCGAAGTTGTGTATCAGTGATGACTGCAACTCATTGCAACCATAAAAAAACCCCAACATATAGCCTGTATTCTGGTTCTGGAATTAGGGTTGGTCTGCTTGCTTTTATACTTTCAGGAGCTGGGATTTTTGACTTGTTATGCGGTTTAGAAGTTTTACCCAAATGAGTACACTTTAGATAGTAAAGCTGGTAGGATCACAGTAGAAATGACAGTCACTATCCAAACTTTTAGAGAAGAGCTATAGCATAACATTTCCTAACATCATCTAGTAGTTCATCACAAGGCAGAATAGGAAAACAAACAAAAAGCCTGACATATTACTTACGAATCATGCTAACTGCTAGTTTTGAACATGTTGAAGTGCAAGAGAGAATGTCTGGATTTGTAAATGAACTTAATTGAAACACAAAACCCTTCTGTAGCGTTTAAATGCTCTGTTATATGGTATTTTTTTATTATTTAAAGATAATTTAGCATTTGTGGCAAAAAAAAAAAAAAGTGGTGTGGCTTTTAGTCTCCAATGTAGCCATCCATGTGCTTTCATGGAAAAACTTACTGTTGTCCATTAGTAGTGAACGTTTTTATAGCCATGTATCAGCAAGTGGGGATACCTAATAGAAAAGCATGTATTTGTCAAAATACTTGATTTGATATTATTTAACAAGGCTGTGGTGTCCCTGTGAAAGGAGTAGCTTGATATGGTTGTTATGTTTCTGGAATGACTATTCTCTTCAACTGTGTCACTTCTGTTCCCCATTGGGGAATTTCTAGAGAGCACTGTTGGTCACCAAAGTAGAAGGAAAGAGTGGCATTCTCTGTGTGGAGAGGTTACTGAATTACTTGCTTCAAAACGGTATAGCAAAGGGTAATAATACCATATGCGCATATTCGCCTTGGAAGGTACATTTCATTCCCAGGTGACTGAGTTGTTTCATGGGCAAATGCTATAAATGAAGCTCTCCAGTTACTTATCATGCCATATCTGGCTAAGTATTACTGTGGAGTTAGTATTGGTTTTGCTGCTGTAACTATAAATACAGTTTTCTTGCATATAACTGTATCTTACCATTCTAGTTTCACTAGAAGACAAAGAAACGAATAGGAAACACAACAATAGTAAGAAAAGGAAAGCAGATGAATGGGAAGAACTCTTCACTTAGACTCTCAGATACTGCTTTGCAGAGGAGCCATTTTTCATTTTTAGTTAAATATCCTCACTAGATCATAAAATATGACAAGTTCTGGTATAAAATATATAAGGTATAAATTCTTTGAAAGTTCAGATATTTTACTGTCTTGTGTGAGCACAGGTTTATGAACTGTCAACAGTTACTTTATAGTCTTCATAACTGTGTTTTCTAAGACAGTGCAGATTTTTTTTTTTCCCCAGTTTATGTGGTTGATTGTGGCATCCCAAAATAATGGGGTAAATCAGGTTTCCTTTGTAACACTGACTGTGAACCAGGGAAGACACTCACATGCTTTGGTAGCTCATCTTGTTGAAACATCACTACTAATTTTTTGGTCAAAACTAACTGAATTGAGGCCAGTAAAAATCATCCTGTGATCTTACATTTTTTTATTTTGATGAAAATAGGGTGCCCCATCATTGCAGTTCTAGTTTGTCTTTCCATGGCTATTTGGGCTTGATTTTCTCTCAGGTCTCTGGGGAATTAAATATGTGTTCTACTTTTCATCCCAGAAATGCCCATGCTTTTAAATTGACTGCAAATTATTTTGCCCAGGTGACATGTGAATGAGGTGGAAGTCACTGTGATCATTATTGCATAGTTTAAAAATATACAATAACATTTCATTTCTTTTCAGACACTAACACCTGCTTGTTTCACTCCTTATGATATCTGGCTTTATTTTTTGCTTGTTGATAATGCATGTGTAAACAAAACCTTTTTACAACACCAGAAACACCAGTGATAACTAATAAACAGAGATGTGTGTGTGCTGGGAGCTCCCTCACACCAAGTATCATGATGAACATGAGTATGTGTGCACCTGCAGGCTTCAGTTCCTGACCTATCCTTTTTTCTTCTTCTTTTGCTGTCTGACATGCTGTGCAGTGCTCCCTCTTAATCACTATGAAGGAAAGAAATACCTACTAGATTTCAAGAAAATTGAGGTGACTAAAGTTACGAGGTAAAAAGCAAAACTCAGTAGTGTTACCTTTTGTAAGTCTGCATTTTTGGTAGTTATCCCATCAGAATTCTTTGTAGATCACTTCTCAGTTTTTCACCATAAAAGGAGCAGAGACCAGGGGGAAGAGTAAGGGCTGCTGTCTTTTCCTAACCTCTGTATACTTCGGCTTTGCCATCTGGGGCGGTGTTTCAGGGTCTTTTGTAGAGCACTCTGGTGCTGGGAGGATGTTCTATAATTGCAAAGCCTTCATTTGGTTAACTTTTTTAAAGATACTGAATGTTCTAAGTGATACTAAGTGGAGAATCATGAAAAAATAATAATTAATATCTAATGTGGTGTCTGTCATTAAAAAGAAGTCTTCACAGGATACGACACAACATTTTTCAGAATTTAGCGATAGCAAGCACCAAGAAAGCCTCTGTTAGCAGGCTGTAACTCATTACTGTGCATTGAGATAGCCTGTGGTCCAGGAGGCAAATATGCAATGTGTGAAGGACAAAGCCTTTAGAAAGCTAAATAAACTGTGCATGCATTTGAGTTTTAATTAAATGTTGTATTTGTGGAGCTTCTAATATAATTTGAAAACTTTAACCTTCCATTTAAATGTCAGCATTAAGCATCAGTGAAAGTCACCATTTGAGTGTTTTTTTGTATTGATCCAAGCTGGAAAGGATTTCTGTAGCAACAAGCAGTTGGCTTGTACACAGTGATCAGATCATCGTTGTACAGTCACACACGTTGTGCAGTAAGATGCCCCTTAGCTGCATGTGATACTGTTGTGTAGTATCTACTGGTAAAAATGTCAACGCTTTAGCTAGGAATCATAGCATTTCACTAAGCTTAATGCTTACGTGTGTTTTTCAGTAAAAATATAATCAGGAAATTAATATTGCAGCTAAAAGAAATCTAACCAATCTTTTTTCAGATAGATTACTGAAAATATTACCCACTAATAATAATGATCTTATGGCAGAGTAATGATTTTGCTCTTTATTTTATATGTATAGATATCTATGTACATGCTTGTGATCCCTATTACCCTACCAAAGCAATATCCCGATCTCAGTGTATTTAAAGGTTATCAATACTGTTATGTGTGATAAGTATTGATGATTTTCCAATACTGTTAACATTAAATTTCTTTGCTCCTCAGCCAATCAATGAAATGTTGGCTAATTTCTTATAGACTTTGCAGATTAAGCCAGTTTTGGAAGAGGTACTGACTATAGTTAGCATGTGTTACCAATACAAAGCATCAGTGGGTTCT